AAGAGAGCATCTCTCTTTAAGAACATGTGGAACCCATATATCAAGCTTTGAAACGAAACCAATTTGTTTCTAGTAATCATAAACAGTTCAATTTCACAAATTTAATCTCTTAGTATTATTCGGCAGTTTGCTTCAATCAGTACTTTTATTTTGTTTTCATTGGCTTCAACTGGCCATCCAGAATGTCGTGCATCTTCAATATTGAAATTGACAGAAAGACATTTTGTAAACCAGTTTTGGCACTGTCGTTCTGTCAATACATCTTCTCCATACACATCACACAATTTTTTTCTCACTTGAACAGCATTCTTACCTTTTCAGTAATAAAAGAGCAAAATATGCCGAAAATGCTGCTTTTGATCTTCTATATTTGATGGGACACAAAAAATAAACAATTGCACAAAATCAAANGCAAAATATGCCGAAAATGCTGCTTTTGATCTTCTATATTTGATGGGACACAAAAAATAAACAATTGCACAAAATCAAACAAAATTTTTTACAAATAAGTCTTAATTAAAATGCTAGCTGTCAAAATATATAATGATAATACAATTTAGAATAAAGATGGCAGAAAAAATACACTAATCTGTCTAGTGGTAAAAAAAATGAACTTACTTTCCAAACAACCTAATAGAATTACAACATAAGCAAAGGAAAATTTTGTTGCTTCTTGATAATTGTGCTGCATACCCTCATTTAGATAATCTAAAAACTATAAGGCTGGAATTTCTTCCTCCTAATACAACATCCTTAGTGCTACCAATGGACATGGAAGTAATAAAAAATTTAGTCATTGTGTGGCGGTACGCCATGTTTTTGTAAATAGGGGTAGATATAAATTTTATTTTCTCCTAAATTCCTTTGTCTTTAACGTGTTTCTAGAACTTTCTAACCTATTCCTTTTCTGTGGGTGGGGGACGACCTTTGTCCAAGGACAAAGGGGAGAAGACAAAAGGGACATTAAGAAGCCCTGAGGCCATCAGAGAGAACGAACTGGATACTTTTGGGTCAGCGTCTGAGGTGTGCAGACGTAGGAAAGAGCAAGCTAGAGGTTTGTCGCCTAGTGGGTATAGTTTGGGATCAAGTGTGTTTAGTGTAAACGAACCAGGTGTACGAAGGACTAAGTAGCTGTAGTTGAATAAATATCCTGTTTGATTTTATGGTTACTTCTTTGTCATCCTTCCTTTGTCCTCCACACCACCACAATTGTATCGAGGAATATTAGTTAATTACATACTGAAATCTATTGATGAAAACCTATTGACAAGTTCATGAACAACCAGAGAGATCAGTGCAAAAATTTCCATTTTGACAGCCATACAGTTGACAGTTGGCAAACTATAAAAAGCAACACAATAGAAAACTGCTTTGCTGTTTTCAGCTTAAAACCTTTGGATGTTCTTCAAATTTTGAGCAGTGAGGAAAATGAAGTCATACTGCAAGTTCCTATCATGAACAATGAAGAATTTTCAACAATAGATGACAATGTTACGATAAAAATGAAAACTTTGAGGATGCAATTGTTGACATCATTAAATCCAAGCATCAAAAATTTGACAAAGAAAGCAATGATGAGGATAATGATCCACTTGTGCTTGTGACAAATCATGAGGCAAAAAAGTTTATAGTTGGGTTACAGTGTTATTTTATGCAGGAAGGTAACAAAGGAAGCCTACATCTGCACTGATATGTGCTGATTTTGTAGAACTGCAAAATTTCAGAAGCAAAAGACAGACTACACTTGATGCATTTTTGCAGAATTAAAATTTGGATTGTAAAATAATTAATCATGCACAGGATGGATTATTTTTTCTGCATAATTTATAGTACAAATATTTTCTGTATTTTGCTTTAATAAAGCATTAAAAAACAGTAGCTGATTATTATTTTTTTACTTACTTATTTATTTATTTATGTATTACATATTTTATTTTAGAATTTATTATTAGTTCATTTAATCGGGGCAGTCACTTAATTGAGCCAAAATGGATTAGTCTCAATGTATCCCAATTAAATGGAATCGACTGCATATGTTTTAAAACACACTACAATTGTGGCCACACCCTGTATATAATTTTGTTTTTATCTGTTATTTCTCATGATTAAACTAAGAACAAAATAATTTCTATCATGTCACGATAAGAAAATAAATGCCAATTTGTTTATAACAACACAGGATTATGATGTACAAGATATTCTCCCAATGGATGACATACTTAAGAGTATATTTGCATCTTCTAGCTAGTCTAATTGCAAAGTAGCTGAATTGGCCAAATTGTTTTTTTATTAATTTTGTTGGTAATAAAAAATATAAATTTATAGTAAGGTTTAAAAAGTTTCTTGGCACTTTTCACTTATATGATGCACTTTTGGTTTCTGAAATCAATTTCCAACAATAGTCTGCCAACATTTTGCATTCCCTTTAAAACTTATTTATGTAAATGCATACAGTAGAACCTCGAAAACTCGGCTCTCGATAACCCGGCACTCCGGATAACTCGGCCACACCCTGGCAGGGCAAAAAAATCCCCAGTTAATTAATTTTCATTATAGACAGCTTTATAAAAGTATAAAAGCTCTCATAAAGTATTTTTCTGAGGTCTGTCTTATCAGGTAAATTACTGTACACAGTGTATTCATTAATTTTCATTTTCATGTAGTAAAGGCTCTATGCCTTCATAAAGGACGTACTTTTCCTTTGTTTAAGGGTATTTGGGCAGTTTATTCTCTGTTATATTCTCAAGTAAACAATACATACAAGTACAGTACAGTATTTTCTGAGGAAACACTCGTACTTATTCTTTTTAACCCCGTTCCCGATAACCCGGCATTTTCACAAACTCGGCCACCCTTCGGTCCACATTAGGCCGAGTTTTCGAGGTTCTACTGTATTAGGAATATATTAATAATATTGAGAATTTCTCAAGAATATGACTTGATGGCCAAATTTGGAAATTATTTTAATAATCAATATTTAAAAAATGTATACACTACACCTAATAAAATATAAGAAAAAAAGTCATGTTGAACAGTGATATCAATAATTTTATTTTCATTATTGGATTTATAGCAGGGTTCTGATTATTCAAAAAAAATGTCAATTGTGAAGGTACCTTGGTTAACAAACATCTTAGATAACAATGTTTAGTAAATTATTAAACAAACTGAGTTTGGATGCATTAATGTTTAGAAGATACCCTATTTTTAGATTAGACCTATTTATTGAACAAAATGACTTAAATTATATAAAAAAGCACTTTTAATTTTATTTACAACTATGCTTATTAAAGTAAATGTAATTCTAAGATTTTTAATATTTAAGAATTCTTAAAATGTTTTACTTTTATAATAAAAATTTTTTATTTTTATATCATATTTTTTAGTTCAAAATGTGCATATTTCAATTCTAAAGTTCTGTCTGAAAAGTTATTCAATGCATGGAAATAAAAATACTTCCTGAGTTTTTCCTTTCCTGTAAGTCTTCTCACATCAATATGACTTGAAACAAAGAATTTTATTAAAATAATGTTCCATTAGAAATCAAAATTTAACAAAAAATGTGTTATTGTACAGCTTAATTCATGATATCAGTATAGAATTTTCAATGAATATACAACTAATAAAACTAAGCTATTAGTTTAACTTTAAAAAATAATCTAAATTAAGATAAAAATGAAAGACATTTCTCATGTACAGGTATCCCTTGATTAATGCAGTTAATTAATCCCTCGATCCTATCACATTTATCAAAATTGTGTTAATGAAAATATGGTATCTTTGTTAAGTAAAGACAACTGGCAAAGCCACGTAAATTAAAACTTCTGCTGCATATATAAAGAGATTGCCACAATTAATTTCACACGTTAATCAAATCCTGCATTAAACAAGAGATACCTGTAATAGGAAAAAAAACAGTTCATAAAATTTCCAAGTAACAAGTAGTCAAGAGAGGAACTATTTTGTGAAAATCAACAGATTGTCACATATTTTCAGTCATGAAATTTCACCTACCAGTATTTTTCTTCATAATTTATAAAGCTGCAGTATATTTATGTGATTGTATTTATATAGTATTTTGTTAAAAACATCATCTGAATTTAATTAAATTAATAAATTTTATTATTATTTATTATAAATTTTTTAAGAATGAAAAATAATTATATACAATAACAAAAACAAATACACTGAGTTCAGCATTACACGCGTTTTTTTATCGCTAGCACTTTCAACGAACTTATTGTCGTCGTCCTCAGGCGAATACAGAAATTCAGGGTAAATTTCTGTATTCGCCTGAGGACGACGACAATAAGTTCGTTGAAAGTGCTAGCGATAAAAAAACGCGTGTAACGCTGAACTCAGTGTATTTGTTTTTGTTATTACATTTTAATTTGGCGTGTTAGTCATTCTATTGATTAATAATTATATACATCGACCAGTAATTGTTTCTTACACATTAAGGTCTAAACTGCTGTAACTGCAAGTCACTTGTTTATCAATAGCTAACAATAAGATGATGATTAACAATTAAATTGATACTAGTGGTTGATGATAGTATATTAGTAGTTAACAATGTAATGTAATGTAAATTCAAGTTTAAAAATTACAATATTTTAAAATTATAATATATATTCAATTATCAAATTTTTATATATCATACTATAATCAATTCTCAATTGTATTATTAATATTCAAATTGCAGACTTATATGAGATATCTATTCATTAGTCATAAATATCTCTTACATTGAATAAAATGCAAAAATAAAAACTAATTGCAAAATTTAAAACATTTTTTATATATTTACAAATAAAAGATTTATTTGTAAATACATAAAAAATGTTTTCTAATCTCCTAATAAATCCTTAAAACTTCTTGTAATTATTTCAGAATAAATATCAAAATCAACTGGTCCATAAAATTTAAAAGAAATTCTGTAGTAAAATAATTGACTTTTAATATTTCAAACAAGACAAGTTATAATCTATTATTTTACTTACGTTGGTTGAGGATTTCCAAATGCTTGGCATTCCAACATAAATGACTTGTCTGGTTCATCCTGATTTTGTGAGACTTGAAATAATTGTTCTGTAGATGGAGGTTGCTTGACAATAGTGGGTGGAAATGGAATTGTTGTAGCAGATTGAGTTAATGACAGATCAATTAAAATTAGTTTAATTAGTACAATGTAGAGCAGGTGATATACCTGCCACCTCCAAGCCATTTCCAACTGTAAAGTAAATTCAAAATTTTATTATTTATAATATTTAAGTTAAAAAATTTTTAACTAAAAAATTTATTACTTAACAATGTTAAGGATGTAAGTTAAAATTCAAAATATATTGATATACTATCAGCTGTTTTTAGTGTGCTATGACAAAATGCATAGCTTACAATCACCTTTTTTAAATATTTTTATTCCATGGCTCCCATAATCTGAATACAAAATCCCCACAGCCCTTTTGGCTTTTGAACAGGCATATTTTACATCCACTGGTCCACAATACATGATACAAAATGTATGGGTAAAAAATTTCAGACACAAATTAATAAGATTGTATTTATTTTGTAAATAAAACATTAACATATTTAAAGATACTGCAGAACTGGATAAGATTATAATAAAAGCACCAACTATCACCAACTATGATTACCATATAATCCAGTTAAAATAAACAAATTTATTATATGAACAAACATTTTCAACTGTTTTTAACAACCATCTTCAGGCTACATATAATAAAATTCAAAAAACAAAATTTAAATAAAAGAGAACTCATTTAATCAATTTACAATTTTATAACATTTTATTCTTATAAAAAGTCAGTGGGTGAGTATGAGTTTGCTTATTCATTAGTTCAAATTGAGGCAAAAGTTTGGAAACTGCAACTCACATATTTTCAACATTTGGTTGGAATCTGTATTTTGATTATGATGTCTGCCAATGCCATAGTATATCACAAAAGGAATCAAAACTTGTATCCACTTTTAGATATTCCAGTTTCACAAAGCTCCAAAATTCAGATAATGATGAAGAAACAAACTTCAATTTCAATGTGGAGTCTGACAAAATATCAAATTGCTCATTCTCAATGATGGTATTGATGAGAGTTCTGTACTGAAATAATCTTTGATCCAGTTATGTAAGGAACCAAGTCTGAGCTTTATTTTTATTTTACTTTTATTTTGCTTTCATTATATTTTGTTTGGGGCTTATGTTTAGTTAAGACGAAGGTTTCCTCACCATTCACCTTAGTAACTTAAAAATAGAAGAAAAACCAACTCACCGACGAAAGAAAAGCGCCGTAGAAAAACTCGCGCACACTTGCGCTTCCCAAGCGGAAAAAAGTAAGTCCGCACCGAGAAAAAGGGGGGGAAGACCCCACAACCCAGTTAGGAATCGCTAAACCTTAAAAGAATAAAGCATCCCGATAATTGTTAAAAAGAATAATGTAAAAGGTTAGCGAAGTATTGTCGGAAAATAATCTGCCAGATAAACAAGAAAAATTTAATGTTACAGATAAGTATGTAAATGAGGAGAGTGATCTCATTCAGAATTGTGACGTCACCTCACACTATAAAGCCTCTAACTCAAGTGAAAACGAACGAGGTGAATTCCTGATAGCAACGAGCTTATAGCAGTGAACGAGAGAGAGGTGTCCGATAGGATTTTGAAGTTATTCGATTTGTGGATCGACGATTATAGAAAGTCTTGAGAGTTTGAGGAAATAGGTTCCTAGTATATTGAGGTGACGATTAGGATCTTTAATTTATAAGAATTATTGTTTATAAGTTAATTCTTTGATTTTGTCGAATTCCAAAGGGGAATAGAATTAAGTTAGAAATAGATTGATTTGAGTTTGTCGGATTGATTCTTGTTGAATTTCATTGAATAAATTATTGTTTGATTTTTACTAAATACTGTATATAGTTTATTACTAGAAGTTTAATTAAATATTTGATTTTGTTATTGACAAACTTTGTCATTATTTAATTCGGTGCACGCTTAAAGTCCAGGCCTGGCACACTAACGCGAATCCGCGTAAAGTACCCGTTAGGGAACGGCTATTTTCGGCACACAGTAGTGTCGATAATTGTTGGAAAGTCGGAAAAATAATATAGTACTTTACAGTTATACTGCTCAATCTCTTCTGAAAAGTATTTGTCAATGTAAACACTGACTAGTGAGCCATGTTAAATAGTCTACAAACACAGACATTAGTTCTTCACTTAACTCCAAATCATCTAAACACATATGATACAGCATAAAAGCAATAATTTACATCTTTATCATCCAACTTTTTTCACAATAGTAATTTCTTTTTGAAAACTTAAATTTTGTCTGACAGTTGCATTATTACTTATGGCACCTGCCTCTTGTGCCAAAAGTAACAGAGCAAAATTATATCTAAATTAATAAGTTCTGGAAGCGAGGATTGGATGAAGGTCTGGGTAGCATAACTAGCAGAACAATCACATGATTAGCGGGAGTTATGGTTTTAAGTCACACTTTGAGCTGATTCTTTTCTTTCAGAACCTTCTAAATTAATTATTAAAATATTAATTTAATTATAATTATTAAATTTAGCAAAAGATGACACCTAACACATGCATCCAGTGCCAAATTATTTAGCATTTAATTAATAATAGCAGTAGTAATATAGCCCAGATATGATTTGGCAATCATATGGCTTTAATATATAACTATCGTGTTTGAATGTTGATATTTGTAGAACTATGAAATTTTTTACTTAGAAACAGTGAGACAAAAATAGTTGAAACAATGGATATTTTATAAGTGATAACATATACAACCAACCTGATAATTACTTCAAATAAATATAAAATGAATAAGTGGATTTTTTTATTGGGCTATTTAAATGTAGGACTTGAATCTGCAACTTCTGCATACCATGCAGACATGTTGCCACTTATGCTACCCAGACCTTTGCTCAATCTTCACATTAATTAATTAATTGGTCTAGAAGTGAAATCTGGACAGAGGTTTGGGTAGCATAATTGGCAACACATCTGCATAGTAAACAGGATTTGTGAGTTCAAGTTTTGCTCTAGGCTGATCTTTTCTTCCAGAATATTCTAAATTAAATTTATTTATTTCTAATTATTAAATTTGACAAGAGATGGCATCCTAATCCTACTATCTTTAGCCAAATTTCTTAATAATTAATTAGTCTTAAACAGCCCAATAAAGGAATCTGGCTGTTTATTTGATATTTTATATGCACTATATCATTTTTAACACACTATAAGAGTCTGTCAAAAATCAAACAAAACAAGATGGAACAAAAAATACGCTGATTTGAACAATGATAATTAAAACAGAACATATCAGTGGTGCACGTAGGTATTAATCTTGGGAGCCAAGTTAAACAGATAAAAAAATTTTTAATACAAATTCAATAAAATTCCCATCTTATATGAGCAATAATTCTTGACCAGTACAGAAACAGAAGATATGACACAATATAAATAAAAAACTGAATTTTAATTAAGAAAAGCTTTTTGGAAAATTTTCTAGTTTTTTTTCTCCTTTTTCTTTGAAAAATCCAGTCTCCTCTGGGTGTGCCACTGCATAATACTGATGATAAAAATGCATTAATATAAACAAAAACTCTTGAGAAACAGAAAAACTAGCTTTCTTTAATAGTAAATTTTGAATAAAGATATAAATCA